GTAGTGTTGGATTAGAGGAGATAGTTGGGATCATTATTGAATACGAACGGATTCGATTTCAGCATGTTGGAAGGATAATATCGAGCTTTGGCTCAGAAATTTGCTATGGTATTTGCTAAAGGAGAAGTGGCTCCATGAAAGGTTGATCTGGGAAATGATTATGGCTTATTGCATGTTTCATTATCATTGCCAGTATATGAAAGTGCTGGAATGACACTTTAGTTGATAAGAGGTTTTCTATCGGTATTCGGTTGTTATGTGCAGCTGCTGTGATTAGAAGTTATCGCTGCGAGCGTTGAGTTATGTGGTATATCATGTGATGGCACCTGAGATAGCAGATATGGTTTGTTACAGCTTGTTCGGACTTATTCACAGTATAAATGTGAGATTCTGATCGTATCAAGGATGTTAGAAGCAGAAATGTGGTTCTCTAGTTTATGGACTAGGATGGATTGTGAAATTTCAGTTGTATTGTGTTATCGAACCTATGTGAGATAGGGTGACGTGGGATCACCCCCGGGTATATGCATGGTAAGGTTATTCAGCGTTTGGTTGGCTTCTGAAACAACTCTGGTCACGTTCGAGGACGAACGTGTTTAAGTGGGGGAGGATGTAACGACCCGACCGGTCGTTTTGAGCTTTTGCGCTTTGTTCGTCATTTCTCGGGCATGACTAGCCCGTTTGATGTATTATGACTTATGTAAATCATTGGTTTTGGTTTTCAGGGTAAACAGAATGAATTCGGAAGAACAGTTCTTAGTTTGTAGCTTGAAATTTGAAAGGGTTGACCCAGATTTGACTTGTTTATATATGATCTCGGATCGGAATTTTTATGTTTTGGTTAGCTCCGTCGGGTGATTTAGGACTTGGGAGCGTGATCGGAATGCATTTTGGAAGACCGTGGAAGGTTAAAGCTTGAATTGGCGAAATTGAGATTTCGGCGCTTTCCGGTCGATAGGTGAGTTTTTTATATAGAGGTCGGAATGAAATTTCGAGAGTTGCAGTAGCTTTGTTGTATTATTTGGGAAGTGTGTGTAAAATTTCAGGTCATTCGGACATGGTTTGGTTGGGTTTTTGATTAAAAGCGTATTTCGGAAGATTTTGGGATTCTTAGACTTGAATCCGATGTGTTTTGGGTAATTTGATGTTGTTTGAGGTATTTTGATGATTGGAACAAGTTTGAATAAGGTTTTGGGATGTGTTGGTGCTTTTGGTTGAGGTCCCGGGGGCCTCGGGTGAGTTTCGAGGGGTTGAACGGATCATTTCGAAGTTGAGAAAGTTGCAGATTTTGAGTTCCAGCAGTTGCAGGTATTTTGGTCTTCGCGTTCGCGAGTGGACCCTCGCGTTCGCGAAGGGTCAGGATGGGAGGCGTCAGATTTAGCCTTCGCATTCGCGAAGGAGAGTCCCGCGTTCGCGAAGGGCCGGGTTAGCATGCATCGCGTTCGCGGGAGGCATTGTCGCGTTCGCGTAAGTCTGAGAGGCTGAAGCATCGCGTTCGCGATGGTAGGGTCGCGTTCGCGTAGGAGAGTTTTGGTCAGCGGAATTTTTGTGCTTCGCGAACGCGAGGCTTTGACCGCATTCGCGAAGAAGGAATTTATGCCTGGGGAAGAATGTTTAAAAGATGGGTTCCGCGACTTTTGGTCTATTTTTCTCCATTGTTGAGCAATTTTTGGAGCTTTTGTGAAGGATTTGAAGAGGGATTCAAGAGATAACACCTGGAGGTAAGATTTTTGAACTCAATACTCGATACTATGTTGATTCTTACTTGTTTAATCATGGAAAATGTGGAAATTAAAGCCTAGAATTGGGGAATTAGGGCTTGAACTTAGAGAGTGTAAATTGAAAATATGAGTGGGCAACTGAGGTCCGATTTTTATGTTCTTGGTATGTATAGACTCGTGTGAGGATGGAGATTCCATTTATGTGATTTTTTATCGAATTCCGAGGCGTGGTCCCGGGGGCCGGGTTTGAGCAATTTCGGGATTTTTGATGTAAATTGGATATTTATGAGTGGGCTTTGTTCCTTTAGCATATTTTAATGATTATGTACTGATTGTGACTAGATTTGAAGCATCCGGAGGTCGGTTCGTGCGGGCGAGGCATCGCGGGCTAGAGTGTGGACCGGATCGAGGTAAGTAATGATTGTAAATACTGTCCTGAGGGTTTGAAACCCCGGAATTTCACAGCGTACGACTACGTTGAGGTGACTTACACGCTAGATGACGAGCGTGGGGTAGAGCACCACTGGGGATTGTGACTTAGTCCATCCCAAATGATTATTTTAGTGCGTATCTGATTTGAAATCTTATGATATTCCATATTTTCGAGATTGATATTATAATTAAGGTTGTATGCCATATTTGAGGCCTTGTGCCGACCTGTTAAGACCCTTAGGGGCACTTTCACTATTTTCCTCACTCTATTTGTTTCGAAAGCATATCCTCAGTCATGTTTTTTCCTGGTTATTGTTTAAATCTGGTTTTATCACTATATTTCTTAGAAATGTGAAAACTGTTTGGGGCTGGGTTCCCTGTTTGACTGATGGTCCGAGTGATCATGAGGTTGATGGCTAAGATAGACCGAGGGTCTGATTATGAGGTTGATAAGTGAGATAGACCGAGAGTCTGATTGTGAGGATAATGACTGAGAGAGGCCGAAGGCCTGGCTATGAGGATTATATATCTATGGATCGGGCTGCATGCCGCAGCAATATATATATATATATATATATATATATATATATATATATATATATATATATATATATATATATATATATATATATATATATATATATATA